TTTTTCCCTATAACTTGGCCAAAAAAAGAGGTATCGATCTAAAATTTGGTATGTATATCGAAGAGCGCAGGGACTATCACATATATTCCGGTTTTTTCGAAATTCGAAAAATTTTTGGAAATTTTTTGAGTTTTTCTAAAAAAAAATCATTTTTTTTATTTTTGGGGGTCAAAATCCCAAAATTTCGAAAATCCGAGATCGCAGTTTTGTAGCGCCGTCTTTTCTCTACACAACCACATAAAGAACTTTAAAATTGCTTGTTAACTGTAGAATTGGTGAGCGTTTCAAGATGTCATGTTTTTTGCTCATTTTTGCTCGAACATGACCTCAGTTTGACCTCAATAACTCCTGACCTGAGGTGACCTGTGACTTGAAATTTTGTGTGAAGGTGTCAAATTGATGCCCGGTAAGGTACCCAAAATTTGGCGGCGCTGCGCGCCGCCGTTTTCTCGCTATTTAAGAAAAACCACAGGGGGGGGGGGCAAAATGGCCCCCCCCATCAGGGCGCGGGTTAACAATTATTAATTTTTCAAATCAATTTTTCAGCACGAATTTGACATCATACGCCAATATAAATAGCACCATCGTGTTTCTGAGCTCAAACTGCATCCAATAGACACATTTTTTGTTGAAAAATTTTTACTTCAAAATTTGACCTTTTTGACCTGAAAGTGACCTGACCTAAGCTAAATTTGACTCAAAATGACCTCGAATGACACAGACGACATTAAATTCGAAATGTTTGGCCTAAATGGACCATAAAACATGTGTCACGTGACCGACGGATGATATAATATTTTCGTGACCTGTGATGACCTGACCTTGACCTGAAAATCAAAGCACAAGTTTGATACCCTCAGAGTATCTAGAGCATCTGTTCATGAGTGTGTGAACCAAAAATGAGCCTGATCTGACTTGTAAGACGGCGGCCAGAGCCCAAAACGTGAAGAAGCCAAAATGCTAATAATTTTTACTTTGACCTGACCTGTGACGTCATCGGTGACCTCGAGGTCAATGAAATTAGGTTTCGCTCGACAGTTTTTCCGGGGCTATCAGACGCCGTTTGAATTTTGACGATCGGCCCAGTAGTTTCGGAGTTAGGAGGGGGGCTATGAATAGCCCCCCCCCCCCCCCCCCCAGTAGGGCGTGTTATACGCAGACCCCAGTGGGGCGCGGGTTAAGCTTATCACTTATCAGGCCCCTATTTGTGGTTCATCCTACGATACAAGGCTGCCCTAACCCTATTCCTGGCGGGGGGGGGCTCAGGAGCCCCCCCTGAGGTTTTTTGGTTATTTCTCCCAAACGCGTTGAGCTAGGAAGCTCAAATTTTCTGACTTTTCCTAAAAGGCTTCTACGCAACATGTCTGAAAATTTTGAGTTGATCTGACCTCAAGTCAGGTCACCAGAGGCGGTTTGGTGACCCTACCTAAGAAAAGTTTGCAATCACGCCAGAGCTAGAGTTTTTGACCGATCAATTTCTTCTCTTCAGGGTTTAGTTAGGGTACCAGTATGTGCAATTTTTTAATCTCGGAATTTTGATATCGGTGACCTAAGGTCAGGTCAATTTCGCGACCTCCCCATTATAAGTCAATGGGGGAAAAATCAACTCCCTGTTTTTACCACTAAAACGGGTCGGAATGGCCCCATATACCATACATGACTTCATATACGATCAACCTTCACTACCTTGAGGTCTGTTTTGCTGTTGGGCAGCTGTGAGGTCATGTGACGTCATCAAAGGTCACCAAAGGTTTTTGGCCAATAACTCCGTACAGGAACAAGATACAGACGCGTGGATGGTCTCATTGTGTTCAGCTCGTCAAGACGCATCGAATGATATACATGATGACCTCGAGGTCACGTGACCTGAGGTCAACCTTTGACCTTGACCTTTCGAGGTCAACATATATATCATTCGATGCGGATTGACGAGAGGATCACGATGATGCCCTTAGTTTGTTCCTATCTTGACTAATTCGAAAGTTATTCGAGAAAAACTCTCTCCATATCTAGCGCCGCCATTTTGACTTTTTCGACCCCTGTGACGTCATCTTTGACCTGACCTGAAAATGACCTTAGTAAAAATTGTAGATCTTGGCCGTGCGTATCCGATGCCGTTTACCGCTTGTCGCTATCTTGCTTCGTTCTCGAGATCTCAGGGGGGGGGGCCGAATCGGCCCCCCCGCTAGTTTCTTGTCCCGGCGGAGCCCGCCAAGAATAGGGCTAAGACTAAAGTCACGGAAAAGTATCCTTGCTAGAGGCTATTTCACTGATTCCAGACAGCTTCGATAATTAAGACAATTTGCCATTCTACGGCTTAAAATGAATGCTTAGAGCAAAATGGATGCCATTTTCGTGATCAGCGATTACAATTCCATCAAATTCGGTCTTTCTTGTGGCAAGGTCAACCAAAGGTCATCCGAGGTCACGAGAGGTCAACATAAAACTTAACCTTTTCCAAACAAAATATATGTCATTCGACGCGTCTTGACAAGACAAATGCGTTGGTACCACTGCCATAGCTCTAGCCCTCGCCGGCACAGGCCATTTTGCGTCCTTCGACGGCACGATGGGGGGGGGGGGGGTACGACCCCCATCGCGTTTGGCCCCTGATCGAGCTAGAGCTTCGCGGAAAAAACGAGCATGTTGTCAAGAGCATGTTACGAGAGGAAGCCGATGATACCCAATTTTAAGGTCCTAGGTCATCGGTTGACCTTCCAGGTCAGGTCAATGACTCAAAAGTCGGGGAAAGTCGGGACCTGTTAGAAAGTCGTAAATGTGGCTACTATGGTTTTTTTTCGGGGTGCTGATCACGAATATCGTGTTAGTTTTGATCATAGATGATGTCTTGAAGCATTTAGACCAGGTAGGGTCAGGTCAGGTCAGGTCAGCCAGTAGGGGTCGTGACGGGTACCTAATTGTAGTATGTACCTACGTGTCAACCGCCTCTGACAGCTTCGTAACATGTTACGAAGGCACCAAAACTACTTCGTAAATGTTCAAATGGTTGCTAAATTTGAATTCAGCTCCAAAAACAGGCCAAGAAACATGTAAAACTCGAAAAAGTGAGCCGAGGTCACCAAAGGTCAATGACCTGATCTGACCTTCAGGTAACCTTGACATCCACCCTAATGCATGGGAGCAACATCAAATCATATGTTTGAACGTTTGAAACCACGAAAAGCTGGCAACCGCTCGGCTAATGCGAGCTGACATACGACAATGCGAGCTGACATAGGTACGCCGAATCGCGATTCCGGCCAAACATGGTCTCGGAAAGTAGGTCACAGATTAAAGGTCATTTTTGGGTCAGGGTCATGAAATTTGAGGGTAGGAGTAAATTTGATCAATGCGAGGGTACTGAAAGTTTAGTTGCGATCGTCCCCTTTTTACGCGAGTTATTCGCGAAAAATCTTAGGGGTGGGGGGGGGGGGGGTGGGGAGGATTGCATCAACCCCCTGTGCCGGCGAGGACTAGGGCCCTTTTAGTTGAAGTCAATTGCGAAAAGCTAAAGACTCAGCTCGGGGTCGTTGACCTGACTTCTGACCTCAGGTCACCAGAATTATTTTTTTTTTGTATTTTTCTACAGGCCAAAAGCTACACAACCGTGTTCGTAGTTTATCTTTATCTCTAAAACTCTATTTTGGCAGCTATTTGAAGTTCACGTCTGTGACACCAAAGTTTGCCGTGCAGGGGTCTAGAAGAATGGGCCCTGTGATGTCATCAAGAGGGCTGGGTCCAAATTGTTTTACTTCAGAGGATGTCAAATTGATGGAGTATAAGGTAAAAGGTAGTGAAAGTTTCGCTTACCTACTCGTTCGAGAGCTATCGCAAATATTCAACAACGGGGGCGAAAAACTCCCCCCCCCCCGGCCCGCGAAGGTTAAATATTAAAAGATGAACTTGAAACGTCAATGCTGGCCTAGCAACGATTTTACCACCGTTGTACGACGTACGTTATGTATTTCTCAAAGTTGACTCAAAATGGTCCAGTATAGAATTTGGCATGCTAAACTTATGGCCAAGGCCAGGGGCCCAAACCAAAGCGGGATGACAATAGCAGAATGCAGATGCTGTCAAATCGATACTATCAGCAGAAACCATTCAGTCAGATGGCTAGGAAAAGGCCGTGTGTTGATGTTTAGATGTATACCTAAAGGTTGGTTGGTTGGTTTGGGTTAAGCACCACATCCAGTGGACCAAGGTGCTAACCGGAACTCTCACGCTGTTCCAAGCGGTCAGGTAGCGGCAATGCCACGTGCATCGCCCGGGAATCGAACCCGATGTATACCTAAAGGAAACAAGAAGGAACTAAGTCCGGAAAAGGGAGGAAAGATCCTTTCACGCTGCCTCAATGTTGAGGGGGCGCCGCCCCCTAGGCCCTCGGCTCTCAAGTTGGGGGGGGGGGGGGCAAGCGCCCCCGCTGGTCCCCCCCTGTTCCCGGGTCTATAGTTCGGGTCAAGTTCGGGTAATTCTGGGACATCCTGTAGGTAAAATGCACATACCAATGAATAAAAGCATTGCTTATAGATGTCGCCAGCGAATGGCATGGATGAGATTTAACTGAGATTTAACAATGCCGACAATGTTGGCATTTTTGACCATACCTCTCACATCAAGCATTTCGGCTTGGTAATAACCCTGAAACTTCAATTGAAATCGTAATATTGACGGAGTTTGTCTGATTTCTTTTGTTACCGTCTTGCAGGAGGTATTGCAATTTTCAATGTTGACACGACGTACCCCCCAAATTTTAAATTAGCAGCCCTGGCTTCCAAAATGTCTCATGTGCGTCATGAACGCAGGCGTTCATCCTCTCCCGCCGTTTTCATTTTCCCCCGCATGAATCGTATCTGTTACGTCATCATATCTTGCTTGCTTTTATGCCTTTTCGGGCCTTTAAATCAGTAAAAAAGAAAAGAAATGCCTAAACCTATAAAAGAAATAGCTTTTGTATGCTGCTTGATGTAATTATATAACTGAAAACTAGGAAAGCAGCTTCTAGTATTCGTAAATAATAAAACGTTACAGCTTCTTATTGGCTTTTCTGTATCTTTCAGGACGTCATCATAGTTGAATATTTTTATTCTGGTGATCAACCTGTCAGGGCTTGTGACCTTGAAATCGGGAGCGAGCAATCTTTTCGGCGCGCGTGTGCATGGGAGATTGATATGTAATGGTTGCTGCTGGTTGCTGCTAAGTAAATGTGCTAAGTAAATGAAGGCAGGGGCATTTGGTTAAGCGTATGGAGGAGGATTTAGCGATGCGTTGAAACAAAGTATTCTGCTTTTTCGTCGTGCTGTCTCAGTCTCAGTCTCCCAAAGTTCTACCGGAGCGAAGATGTCTCAAATATTCAGTTCAATTCGATATTTCACTACTGGCAGAATATCTTCCAAGGTAAGATTTTTCTTGGTTCTTTTCACGTTATGCCAAATATGTCCGGCGTTGTGGCGGGATTGCGCCAAAAAATTTGCGCACGTCCGGCGTAGCTTCGCATTCACTGAATTCAGCGCATGACAGCGAGCAAATTTTTTGGCGCAGGGCGGTTGCATGATTTTTTGGCAAAAGACAGTAACTGAATTTATGAGGTAGGCTGGTCAATTTAGCAGCAGATTCACCTAGCGAGCAGCTCTGGTAAGGTTTCGGGACGAGACGTCCCTGCCCCAGTCGCATGCATGAACTGGCGAGCCTTTCTGAGTCTACTCAGAGGAGGAGTGGCCGCCCAGGTGAGGCCTCAACCCTTGGCATGGAGATAGGTATGGAAGACTTTGTTGAACATCACCAAGCACCATTAAGCAATACTGCAGTGGGTTCCCATTCCTGCCCACTCATCGATCATCGATCGATCCCCATATAGAAGGGAATGAGAGCGCGGGCGACCTGGCAAAACAGGCGGCCGCCCTGCCCTCAAACGCCCGCTTGCTGACCGGGGCGGTTCATTGTGCAGTCATGCATTGGCAACTGCTCAGAATCGTTATTCAAGCCACTCCTGGGGAGCATACCGCCGCTCCCTATCCCCGGAGAGGACCGAGAGGATGCCGTTTTGGTGCACCGCACCAGATGAGGGCGGACCACTGGGGCCGTTCGCTCCAGTACGGCACCGAATCGGCTGTCTTTACCTCGCGGCGTGCAAGCAGTGCCCAGACGAGCGGTGCCCAGCGGCGCTCTGCACTGTGAGCCGAGAAGAGTCTAATGTGCCTGAGCATGTGCTGCTCCGCTGCCCAGCCCTCCTGGCTCCCGACGGCCTCGAACACACTGCTCCGCCGGTTTTTGTGGCCCCGGAACTTATGGCTCCGGCTTTGTTTCACGGCATGAAGCTAGGGTGCGCTAAGAGTATTGAGGTTTTGGGTTTCCGTGGAAATAAAAAATTATTCGGACGCTCAAACATAGGAGAGCGTACCAGGCCCCGGATTCCGGAACACTCTGTCTGGTTGATATAGCCTTGATGAGTAGATGTGCACATGTGCTTTATATAAAAAAGGGCATAATTTTCGCACAAATAGCCACATAATTTTCGCGCCGAATTTCGGCGCAAGAGGGTCTCACGAGCGTCCGGCGTAGTGTATGGATGTTTTCCAGTCTGGAGTTCAGACCTTTTGCCTATTAAAAGAAGTTATTTATAGTGAGAATCTACTTCTCCATAGCCATGGGCGTAGGAACGGCTCGAACATTGTGGGTGCATGGGTGCAGAAATCCAGCCATACATACCCGGTGAAACGAAAGGGAGGTAGGGAGTGGCATTGGGTATCGGTTTGGCTCTGTTTCAGGCGGGAGACTCAGTAGTGATTCGAAGGGGTTTACCATGTCGAAAAGATACCGAAAATTGCATATGTAATGACACATTGCAAATATTGATACTTAATGCCAATAATTCAGGCAACTGCATTGACTATTGACTGGTCAGGCATCGGTCAGCTGTTTGAGGGGCTCCCATTTTTCCCCGATCAGCAGTGACTGAAACAAACAGCGTCGTCCCCTTAGCGCACCGATACTTTCAGAAGAACCTATTGATCTTTTCTGCCAGTATAGTTCTGTTTTTCAGAGCCGGCTCACGTCATGGCATGCCCACGCTGGTGACAGCTCAGAACTCAGTAAGAGACAGGATTCAATGGATATTCCTCAATGTTGGTGTGTAGTCAATGCTGGTGTTCCATCAACATGGTATTTTAGTTGTCTGTATCATGCTCTTCACTACGACACCAGCACTTTCCGAACCCTTTTCTGTCCAGGTCGAGGAGGCACTGGAGAATGGCGGTGCCAAGAAGGAGACCTACTTCACTGACTACACGACGCACCTGATTGTGGGCGAGTCTCCCGACGAGGATGTCGTCAACGAGGCACACGACCTGTACGAGCGGCCTGCCCTGCGGGCGATCTGGGTCACTCTGTCGGCTGCCGCCGGAAAACTACTGCCGTATCCTTCTCTGGCGACTCATGGGTCGTTTTTGTAGTGTTTTTTTTTTTCGGTAATCAATTGGATTGCAGTCATGAGACATTTTATGGCGTCACTGCGTTTTATTGTGCATTTAGTTTAATAAGCATGCTTGCTGGTGGTTATGTCATGTAGATCAAAACAAATTCATGTTTGTTTTGTTTATTTGCTGTTTCCTCACATATTTTTAATGCCTTTTGTATCATAGTCACTTCATTAGAATTTAACGTGTCAGAAGGTAATCGTCAAAATATCATGCCAACGTGACTTTGACACCTCACAACACCACCCTCCCTGCTGTTGGTCTCCTTGACTACCTTACCTACGACACTCAGTCTGGCGGCGTTCAATTACGCCCCGGGCCAGCTGTTCCGGGGAGTGCGAGTCTGCTGCAGCCGACTGGAGCGGGATGACGTGCGCCTGGTGTGGGCCCTGGTCACCTACCACGGGGGAGCGTTCCAGCGCAACCTCACACCCGCCTGCACCCACCTGGTGGTCGGCGAACCCGAGGGCGTGAGTGACCGCGGGTGGGGCAGTAGAATAGGAGGCCTTTAAGTGTTCAATTGGTTTGTTTTTGCATAGATAGTTTTTGGAATGTGCTTCTGTGTAGTTTTCATTCACCTGACTTTTACGTCATCAAGCCTCGAGCATTGCAGTGAAATTGGATATGATAATTCTGCAGTGGATTGCTGTAAATGTGTTGATTAATTTTATGTTTCTTTGAGAGCTGAACTCCACCATCCCGGCCCCTCTCACCCGCCGCCCTCTGACCGCGCCCTCCCGTGCGCCCTCCCCAGGCGATGTACGCGCGCTGTCTGGAGCCGGGCGGCCCGGTGCCGGTAACACCCGACTGGGTGACTAGTTCGGCAGCTGAGGGCGCGCTGGCCGAGGCGGCCGCCTTCCACCCGCGTCTGCTGGTGCCGCCGCCGCCAGCCACGCCGCCCCCGCCGCCGGATCCGGCGCTGGCAGCCATCACGGGATTCGGGGAGGAGGAGGACCGCAAACCGAGCGGCGAGCAGGAGAAACAGCAGCAGCTGGCACTGCTCAAACAGAACCTGCCCTGGAACCAGCCAGAAAAGGTGAGCGACGCTCTGAGCTGACCTGGAATAGTGAGCTGGGGGAGAATAAAAAGAAAGACGATCATGAGTTATGATGGACAGAATCAGTCATGAAACTGCTTCCAGCTGGCCGATGTATCATGCAATAACAAAGGAAACAAAGTTAACAAAGCAGAGGAGATGAAACAAGGACTCAGCGAAAATGTAATTCTGGACTAAATCTTAGAATCTGACTGAGCTCAGCTAGGGCAACAGGTGAACGTGTAGTACTGCCTCCAAATTCAACTCGATCCCCATGCCTTCCCACACCCCAGTCTGACCCTGCCCCTGCCCTGTGTCAGCCGGCGGCGCCCGCGACCTCGGCCACCCCACCGTCGGTTTCGACCACACCCCCGACGGCCGTGGTGCGCCCGGTCGGATCCGTGCCGCAGGCGGTGGCTGGGGTCCGTCAGATGACGCCCAGGATGGTGGTGGCCGGTCAGATGCAGCGACTGCCGGTCCAGCTACAACAACAGGTGGGATAGCGATACCTACAAGCGCGGCGGGCAGTGTGTACTAGGCACTGAAGGATATCATTTGTAGGAAAAAAGGTGGATATTAGGGAGGCGTTCATGAATGTTTGACCGATTACAGTGCCAATTTTATTTAGAGTAATGCTTTGAGTTTGTCAGTTAAAAAGTATAGGGTGAGTTCGTGACAGAGTACCCATGGCTTAATTCGTATTGTGTATTTTTTTTTTTTTTTTGCAAGTCTGTTTTTGCCAGTCCAAATACGTTGTGATCAGGGTATGTTATTCAAAAGTCCTTTGCGAGCATATATGGTAATCCTCGCTGAGTGGACCAGCCTACCATGGCCCCTACCCGCGGCGTCCGTCGTGCGCGTCTCCGAGCTGTTCTGCCCCGTCTGTAAATACTGACCCCCGCCCGTGGCACGCACGTTTGTAGATTCGGTCTCCCCTGCAGCCGCCGCACGGGAGGCCGCAGCAGCTGCAGCAGCTGCCGCCCGGACAGCAGCCGCGCCCGCAGCAGATGATGCAGCAGCAGCAGATGGTGCAGCTGACGCCACAGCAGCGCCAGCAGCTTCTCGCCCAGCAGCGCATGCGCACACCGCAGCAGCAGCAGCTGATGATGGGCCAGCATCCGCAGCAAATCATGACCTCGCAGCAGCAGATAATGACGTCACAGCAGCAAGTGATGACATCACAACATCAGATGATTACGTCCCAGCAGCAGGTGATGACCTCCCAGCAGCAGATCATGTCTCCGCAGCAGCAGCAGCAGCAGCAGATAATCACATCCCAGCACGGCCAGCCGCAGCAGGTGCTGGTGTCTCAGCAGCACGGTCAGCAGCCGCTGGGGCCGCACGGCCAGCACCCGCAGCGCGTGCTCACCTCCCAGCACCAGCAGCAGCCGCAGCAGCACGTGATCCTGGCGCAGCACCCGTCAGGCGGGCAGCAGCAGTTGCTGCGCCACCCGGGCCAGCAGCACTTTATCCAGCGCCAGCCTCTGTACTCGCAGGCGCAGGGCGGAGTGATGGGCGCGCAGACGTGGCGGCCGCCGGTGCAGCAGGCGGACGGCCAGCGGCTGCCCGGGCCGCCCGGCCAGCAGCCGCCGGCCGGCCAGCAGCGACCCGGCTGGCACGAGGAGCAGATCGTGCAGACGCACCAGCAGTGTCTGGTCAACCTGGACCCGCAACAGCGCCAGCAGTACCTGGAGCGCATGGACCCGCAGGACCGCAACATCCTCATCAGCCACTTCCAGCGGCAGCGCGCCCTTCAGCAGCAGCAGCAGCAGCAGCAGCAGTGGCAGCAGCGGCCCGGGATGCAGCCGGGCATGGCCGGCCAGCAGCTGCGCCATCCCATCCAGCAGATACAGGTCAGAACTGAACCGGGTGTGGGAGGAGAATTGACGGTGTGTCCTTCCTACGTCTACCTGGTGACTGTGAAGATCATCCTGAGACACCCATCCTTGAAATCGTCCGCCTCAACTGCGTTCCTGGAAACCAAGCCACCTTCAGAATGGTGCTCCTGGTCGAAGCGTACATGGAATTACTCTACGCCTTCGACCTATGTCCTTTCAACATCATCCTGGAACGCCATCCCTTCATGTCAGTGTCTGATGATCTGATTCCAGCTGCTTTCCTCACTGCCTTCTCTTCTGAAGATTACGGTACTCTCGCTCCGTTGTCTTTCCCATCATCCCAGCCTGGATCCTGAGAGATCTTGTGAATCTTTGCCGATTCAATATCAAGCGTCTACTTGACAGTTAGCATAATTTGAAAAGCACCTTTCTGTCCTGGATCCTCAATTACAACGCTATATCGTAATTCCTACTATTTTTTGTTCCAGTGGTGATCCGAATGAAAGAGACATGCCTTTGTTTTGCTCTGGAACGCACATCAATGTGATTAGATGTATCCAAAGCAGAATTTATTCGCTACGACTTTTCGCTTGATATGTGTCACAGCCAAAAAGATTTACCTCACTTACCTCCCTATTTAGCACTCTGCCATAACCGGAGCGACCACCCCGTTCTCTCTGCCCTTACTAGCGCCTAGCCACCCACTGGCCAGTCCCGTCTCTCCCTTCTCCCCGCTGACCTCTGCCCGTCTGCCCTCAGGGCGTGGCCCGTCCGGTGCGGCCGGGGATGCCGCTGCAGATGCCGGTGGGCCAGCAGCCGGCCGGGACCCGACTGGTGACGCAGATTACACGGCCGCAGGGCGCACCGGGACAACAGATGATTCAACAGGTACGACTGGTGGCCGCATCTCCCTCATACATACACATTGCACTCCCCCGTACCCACCTCATCAGCCCCCGTACCCACCTCATCTTTGATGCAGAGGAAAACATGACTTCGCTCTTAGGATCACTGGCTCAGGCTTTTCGCTATGCACAGTTGTCACAGTACAGTTCGTCTTACGCGGCTGCTGCGAGCATGGCTAATAGATAGTTGCTAAAAAAGAATTGGTGTTAACCGCAACTTCCGGTCAGGAGCAGAGCCTCTAAGTATTACATTTTTCGGAAGTTGTTTCGGAGGCCCTCACTTGCAGTTTTGTGAGTCTTGCCCCATCTATTACTTTTGTTAGTAATAAACATTTGTGTGCAGTAGCAAGACATGATCCCTACGCCGTTAACCCGCGCCCAGCTGGGGGTCCTGGATTTCCACGCCCTGCTGGGGGGGGGGGGGGTGTTTGAACACCCCCCCCCCCTTCTAACTCGGCTCCTGGGCCACGTAGCGATACGCGGAAGGCGGCGTTCGAAAGAGCGTCAAAAATAATGAGGAAATCACTTCGGTCAATTTTTTGGTCAGGTCAAAGGTCAGGTCACCAGAGGTCATTGAAGGCAAAATTTCGCCGATTTCCAGGTCGAATGTCGAAAATTTCCAAGAAGCCAACGCATAACTCGGGAACCAATAGAGATACAGCGCCGCGGAAAAGCGCATTCGATAGCCCTATTAACGCCCTTTCTGAGTAATTCTCTCAGATTTGACCTAACGTCAACGGTTTTGCCTGCAGGGGGCAAAAACTGCAAAAATAGCCGATTTTTTCGGAAACAGTTTTTCTGCAATAACTTTTGACCCAAGCCTTGTACGAGCTCACTTTTACCGGCATCGTGTTCCTCTCGTCAAGACGCATCGAATGAACTATAACTTGACCTTGAAAGGTCAACTTGAAAATTTGACCTCAGGTCAAGGTCATGACCTGACCGGAAAGGGTCATGTTGCATATCAGTCGATCCGTATCGTCGAGATGAACACATCTAAGGCGTTTTCATCGCTCTAGCATGCCTCAATCAAAAGTTATTTGCGAAAAACTGTTAGATACCATTCGTGACCTAAGATGACCTCAGGGCATAAACAGGGGTCACGAACACCATTTTCATGTTCAGTGTGTCTAAACCACTTGTAATTCAGTGTTTGGGAGTGTTTATAATGTCTTTCGTCCAAAGGAGGCGCATTTCAATTTTCTCCCATTGACTTATAATGGGGAGGTCGCAAAATTGACCTGACCTTAGGTCATCGATATCAAAATTCTGAGATATACATTTTGTACATGCTATTGCTCTTAGCAATCGCTGAAAGTTTCAAAGCGATCGGTCACTCGATGTAGCTATGACAGACATTGAAACTTTTTATGAGGTGAGGTCACTTCAAGTGACCTGGTGACCTGACCTTGAATGACCTTGGTCTGAAATTTTCACAACATGTGTAGAATTGATGTATGATAAGGTGTACCAAAAACGGCGGCGCTCCGCGCCGCCGTTTTTGAGATATTCGCGAAAAACCACAAGGGGGGGTGTTCAAACACCCCCCCCCCCCCCAGCAGGGCGCGGGTTAAAGTAACATAACAATTCGTTTTTCGTTTATTTTTGTCATTTCCTATGACTTACCCTCTCTACTGCCGCCACCTCCCGCAGGTTCGTCCGGCGCAGGTGGCCGCCACCTCTGACGCCCAGGAGCCAATACAGCAGCAGGTGCAGCAGAACCTGGAGAAGATCAGGCAGTCGATGGCCGCGCAGCAGCAGCAGCAGGCCCAGCAGCAGCAGCAACAACAGCAACAACAGGCGCAGCAGCAGGTCCAGCAGCAGACGCAGCAGGGACAGCAGCCTCAGCAGCTGCAACCGGGACAGCAGCAGCCACAGCAGGTTCAACAGCAGGCTCAGCAGCAAGTGCAGCAACAGCTGCAGCAGCCTCAGCAAGTCCAGCAGCAGCAACAGCAGCCAATACAGCAGGTACAGCCCCAGCAGCCGCAGCCGCAGCAGCACCCGGCGAGCCAGCCGCAGCAGCCGGGGATGCAGCCCCAGCTGGTGCAGCAGCGTCAGCAGGTGGTGGTGCAGGGCGCAGCCGGTCAGCAGCTGCGCCAGCCGCTGCAGCAGCCGCAGCCGAACGTGCTCAGCATGCAGCAGCAGCTGGTGCAGCGTCAGCAGGCGGCGGCGGCGGCGGCCCAGGCAGCCGGCGGCCAGCAGGTGGGTGACAGGACGGCAGACGGTGATGGCGGTTTAGTCAGCGGTTTGATTTCTTGGACGCCTGGGCGTGAAATAGAACACAAACCGAGATATAAGACTCCCATTGCATACCTTTAGAATGCTCTCAAAGAGCAATTTTATTGTAAAATGACCGTGTGACGTTATTACGGCTTGGTTTGTAAAACGACTGCGTGAAGTTATTGCGACGTGGTTTAAATACTTCAGCTAGCATGACGTCATGCAGCCGTTTTGTGTGCATGTTCATGCTCCCCTACCTCTTTATCAGGTCTTCTTGTTCTCCAATTCTCTTCATGCCTTATTTACCCTCTAACCCTCCGTCTCTTTCCATTCCCAGCTGCTGCAGCGCCAGCAGAGCGGCCCTACACCATCTGCCAGCGGTGCGGGCACCCCGGGCCCCCCGCAGCACCTTCTGCTGCGGCAGCAGAGTGAGCCGGCCGTGCTGCAGCCGGGCCAGCGGCTGATCCAGGTGGGCGGTCAGCAGGTGGTGCTGCCGCAGGGACAGCCGCTCACCGCAGAGATGAGGCAGCACATACTGGTAAGGACGCGATCAGCGCTGGGGGATGGGTGAGGGGTGGGGCTGGGTTGAGTTGAGGGAAGAGAGATGATGCGGGTAATGGTGGGATGGAGTGTTTTTTTTTTTGGGGGGGGGAGGGTGGAGGGGTGAAGAGCTTCTACCGAATGGGTAATGTGTAGCAACGTATACGTCTAAGTCATTCCGCGTGATTTCATTATGCTTTTTGTTTACTGAATTTCAGCGTTGTACGCCGCTATCAGTATCGCACTCAGCTCATGACCATTTTACTTCCCACCACAGAACAGCCAGCAGAACCTGGTGCAGCCCAAGACGAAGACGGCGCTGGCCAACCTGCTGAACAACCGACTCTCGAGCGGCCCGATGAGCGGTTCCTCCACCCCGGAGACCCCTGGCACGCCTGTGATGACCACACCTCCACAGGGCGCGGTGGCAGGGGAGCAGCCGCGGCCGCAGCCGGCCGGGCCGGCACAGAACGGTGAGTGGATAGACGGATAGACGGTGAGTGGATAGTGGATAGACGGTAGGGGTGCATTGTCTGAAGTGTAAAATGTATGTGTGTCTTTGGTTTCTGTTCGTGTTCATTTCAGTGACGCGTCATTATTGTAAAAGAGATGTTCAGCTTTTAGTTCATGTGTGGCTTGCAAAAAAAAAAACTTATTAACTGATTTTCAATGAATTGTTCATTCATATAGATGGCCAACTGCACCCGTATATACTTTACCTTGCCAACATAATATATACCATCTATAAAATCAGATAGTCATGTATCTTCACTGCCCTACAGTCACGGCTGTCCGATCTGTCTCAGTGTTTCACATATTTTATCTCCGTCTCCCCCAGTGGCGACCACGGACGGCGCTGCCGCAAAGCTGTCCGCCATGCAGCTGGGTGCTGCGGGCGGCGCCTCCACTCCTCCGACCGGTTACAGAATGGGCATCAGTCCTCAGAAGGCCACCCAGCAGCAAGCCAACCGGATACAGTACTATGGACACGACCCCAACCTGAACCGTGAGTCGCCGGGAGCTGGGGTTAATCAGGTGTCTTGGTCGCGTTTTCTAGGGATTTGTGTTGTGTATGAGGTCACGGCTGGTTGAGTGTAGGTTAGTTAAATAGGTACAACATGGACTGCATTTGATGGTGATTATATTGGTAGACATTAATTCTGGCATTAATTTAGCGCCACGATGAAATGTGATCAATCAAGCTTATTGCTATTGTCATGGTTAACTATTTACTTTACCGTTCTCATTCTGCTTACCAACCTTTTCACGATGTTGTGTAAGCATCAAGCATCATGCTTCGAAATGCTTATGTTTCACACCGCAACGTCTTCAATACGTTTTTCGCCTCTCATCAGCCCCCCCCGCTCTGCAGTGCCGCCGGACCTCTGCCTGCTGGGCTGCGTATTCCTGGTGGCCGACTACCAGCACTGCACTTCGGTCGAGGATCTCAAGAGCTGGTGTAAGGTGATCGCCCAGTTCGGAGGCGAGGTGGAGCAGACGTACAGCCCGCGCGTCACGCATATCCTCTGTCTGCAGCTGAAGAACCCCATCGTCCAGTCGGTGGGTGGCCGGGATATTCTAATGTCGGAGAAAGACGAGGCGGTGGGGTACATCTGCAGGTTGAGGGGCTAGCTAAAGTGAAAGGAAGAAAAAAAAGAGATCAGCAATTTACGCTTATTTTACCGAAACCGAGCATGTTAGAATTTTTTTTTTAAAGGGAGATAATAAGCTTTCTTTTTTCTTAAATAAAAATTACTCGACATCTATACTATTTCTACTGTAGTTTCTATTAAATATGAAAATTTCCTAGCACATTTTCGTATGTGAAAAAGGTTTTTATTTTTGCAAAAAAGAAGCAGTACTTGCAGTACTTGTAACACCCACCGAAATGCGTTGTCCTTCTCTATAAAAAAGTCGCAGTATATGGCGCTTTTGTTTCAAACAGCGACGCTTGGGTTTTTGTTTATGTTATCGCCTTGTCGTTGCTTGGTTGTAAGGATTCCAATTTGAATTAGAGTTAATACGGTTTAGAATTAATTAGACTCTAATTCGGGGGTACAGCCCTCTGCAAACTGCGTGGTAGGTATTCTTTTTTTCGGCAAAACCGGGAATAACGCGAATACTATGCTATTGGCCACTCGGAAAACGTAACAGCAAGACGTCCGAGACTCCGCACCTTAGATTGGGCTTATTTTGGTATACATTTTCCAGCTAGTTTGGCAACAATACAAGAAAGTTTATATCTGCCCCCAAAACAAATTTTTGCATTTTGTTGCTACACTAGTTGTATAATTCGTTCAGTGATAGAACCAATCGAAGGAGTGGAGCATGGCGCATCTTTATGCAATGAGATCCGACCGACTGACAACTTAGTCTTTGAGTTATCCCGCGCCCTGCTGGGGGGGGTGTTTGAACACCCCCCCCCTTGTGGTTTTTCGCGAATATCTTAAAAACGGCGGCGCGGAGCGCCGCCGTTTTTGGTACACCTTATCATACATCAATTCTACACATGTTGTGAAAATTTCAGACCAAGGTCATTCAAGGTCAGGTCACCAGGTCACTTGAAGTGACCTCACCTCATAAAAAGTTTCAATGTCTGTCATAGCTACACCGAGTGACCGATCGCTTTGAAACTTTCAGCGATTGCTAAGAGCAATAGCATGTACAAAATGTATATCTCAGAATTTTGATATCGATGACCTAAGGTCAGGTCAATTTTGCGACCTCCCCATTATAAGTCAATGGGAGAAAATTGAAATGCGCCTCTTTTGGATGAAAGACATTATAAACACTCCCAAACACCGAATTACAAGTGGTTTAGACACACTGAACTTGAAAATGGTGTCCGTGACCCTTGTTTATGCCCTGAGGTCATCTTAGGTCACGAATGGTATCTAACAGTTTTTCGCAAATAACTTTTGATAGAGGCATGCTAGAGCGATGAAAACGCCTTAGATGTGTTCAGCTCGACGATACGGATCGACTGATATGCAACATGACCCTTTCCGGTCAGGTCATGACCTTGACCTGAGGTCAAATTTTCAAGTTGACCTTTCAAGGTCAAGTTATAGTTCATTCGATGCGTCTTGACGAGAGGAACACGATGCCGGTAAAAGTAAGCTTGTACAAGGCTTGGGTCAAAAGTTATTGCAGAAAAACTGTTTTCGAAAAAATCGGCTATTTTTGTAGTTTTTGCCCCCTGCAGGCAAAACCGTTGACGTTAGGTCAAATCTGAGAGAATTACTCAGAAAGGGCGTTAATAGGGCTATCGAATGCGCTTTTCCGCGGCGCTGTAGCTCTATTGGTTCCCGAGTTATGCGTTGGCTTCTTGGAAATTTTCGACATTCGACCTGGAAATCGGCGAAATTTTGCCTTCAATGACCTCTGGTGACCTGACCTTTGACCTGACCAAAAAATTGACCGAAGTGATTTCGTCATTATTTTTTACGCTCTTTCGAACGCCGCCTTCCGCGTATCGCTACGTGGCCCAGGAGCCGAGTTACAAGGGGGGTGTTCAAACACCTCCCCCCAGCAGGGGGGGGGTGTTTGAACGTGGAAATCCAGGACCCCCAGCAGGGCGCGGGTTATTCTCGGTTTTGTCGAAAAAAGAATACCTACCACGCAGTCTGCAGAGGGCTGTACATAGTGCCTACTCTTCTTTGTTTCCAAGTATTATTTTGCGCCACAAATGAACGGCATGCGCCAGAAACGCAGCCAAATCTTGCGATTGCGACTACGAAATTCATTATTTTGGCCTCAGAGCCTGAAGCGAAAAATACAAGCATATTTATTTCAAAAAGACTTCAGGTTTGTCGAACGGTGTTATGAGAATTTTGATAACAGTACTGCATAAGTTTTTCAGTGATGCCGCAAAAGTGTTGTATCTATCTTCTTTTATTGTGCAGTCGGCGGGACCGATTCAAAATTGAGTCGTTGCTACTAAAATAGCAGCATATGGCGACAGATGATGAACAGGAAAAATAGTTGCGTAAATTTAGACATAAACCACCCCCAAACCATGAATATCTTTTGAAGGCACTATAGACGACCATTAATTACTAACTAGATGTGATGAAGATCAAATGTAATGAATACGCTCATTTTACAAAATTACATGCAAGTACCAAAAAGTGATGTAAGTACTTATTCAACGGTCATTTTCAGCGCTCCCCGCTAACGTGACTTCAAGTTGAGATATTTGCGGCAAGGTACCGAATTGAGCAAAATGGTTTTAATTTACATTATAACTTGTTGTGTTTTGCCAGAAAATGGTCCTAACTCAGATTTTGTGGAAAAAGGTCATAATCTCCCTTTAACCACGCTAGCTTGGACATGCAGTTTGTTGCCCCAAAAGGTTTTCTGTGTTATCTTTCTGCTCCTGCCATTTTGAAACGCCACGCATATCGTTAAAGTTTTTAAGTTTTTCTTGATTTGGCAGTACCATTTCTTTTCTTTTTTGTTAGATTTCAATTTGCACAATAGTTGACGTGTGTCTCTTAGGTATGACATTCAGTTACCTTATTTTGTACCTTACCGTTCACGCATTATTCCCTCCGTGGTGTTTGCCCTCAGGGGATGCGGGACGGCAAGCGGTGTGTGACGGCCTACTGGCTGAGCGACGTCCTCATGCAGCACAGGGTGACGCCCCCGACACAGGCGATCCACCTCCCGGTACCGTACAGGTAAGACGGGGCCATGTGTGGGACCGTGTCTCAGATTAGACACAAGTCCCCACACAAGGTCCTCACACAAGTCTACAGGGTGACGCCTCCTACACGGGCGATACACGGCCGGTCCCTTACAGGTAAAACATGACTCAGTGTTGAGATATTTGCTCAGCTGATTTATAGCAGTAGACAGGCGTATCGTAGAGTGCCGCTGCCTATTCAGGCGCAGCCCTCCCGGTAGCGTTCAGGTGAGAAAGGCGCGCAGTGTGGGGAGACAATCGTGGTGCACTTTGTTCGTGTTTTCGGACCTTGGCGGGAGCCATTCGCAAACTTAATACCGCTATTGACCGTTCGCTGTACTATTTCCAGTGACAGTGACAAACCCGGTAAGGAGATGATAATCAGCATCTCGGGCTTTGAGGACAGCGAGAGGCAACGCGTGAAGCGGATGATTGAGGGCTGCGGGGCCATCTATACCGGCTACCTGACCAAGCACAACACACAACTCATCTGCCGCAAGTAAGCAAGTGTAGAGTGGCTGTGGATGGGAGGCAGATTGGGGATACCCGTTCAGTCCAGGCTCGCTTCAAATAAAATCTGACATTTTCGATGGTGCTTGTAATGGGAAAAGTGTATGTGGAGATGACAGCTTTTTATCGAGAGAAATTACTGTTCACTACGGTTGTGGTTACAGGTCTCTGTAAACTCCATTACGACTCCCTAAGACAAATGCTAAGACCAACGTGTCTCCGCTTTCAAATCGGGTCATTCAATCACCCTTAACCAATAACCAACCCTTTGTTTCACCCGCCCAGACCGGAGGGTCCCAAGTACGCCAAGGCGCGCGAGTGGAAGACGCCGGTGGTGAACCTGCACTGGCTGAGCGAACTGCTGTTGGGAAACCAGAGCGTGGCGCAGCTGACCGGCCACCAGAAGTACCAGCAGTTCAGCCTGGAGGACCCGTTCCGCATCGACTACAACCTGGTGCCGCACCTGATGGCCGCCTGGAAGGCGCCCATCATCGTGACGCGAGAGATCTGGAGCCGCTTCAAGGAGAACCCTCCGCCGAGAAACAAACGCAAGGTAGGCAAAGTGTGGGAGTGGAGAACGGCGTTGGAGGGGGGATCGGGTGTGACTTTTTTAGGTTGAAGTGTTTCATGTAATTTAGCATTGCATGTGAGGTCTTATAACACCTTTGCCCGGAGTAACTTGCGACTGGCTTATTAAGAGACACAGACGTAACTGTCAAATTCAAGAAGACCTTTTCTGTTATGGGCGCAAAATGATCTCGCAGCCCCTAACCCCCAACAAACAAAATATAACAAGAAGACCTTTATTTCAATGTTATTGAATGTGATTTGCTGTTTTCCGTTTCCTTCGTGTCGATAAATAGTGTCCCTTTTCGTTTTTTTTTTTTAGCTCATTTTCTGTCACTCGGCAGGCACTGATCCAGATTATTCCAGCCGGTTCTTTATGTTGACTGCCTTGACTGACTACTCCCTCCCCCTCTTGCAGATGCAGGAGATCGAGGCGGAGCGCTCACTGAAGAAGACCACGCTCTCTCCGTGCCTGTCGGAGCCGGCGCCGGCGCCGACAGAGTCAGAGAACGGGCCGCGGGTGCTCTTCTCCTACAGCTCGGCACCGGGCCTGACCGAGATCGTGCGCCGCCTGGGCGGTACCGTGGCGTCCGGCCCGGCGGCCGCCACCCACCTGGTGATGAGCCGCCTCCAGCGCACGGTCAAGTTCCTGATGGCGCTGCCCACCTGCTCACTGATCGTGTCGGAGCGGTGGCTGGAGGAGAGCGGCCGCGCCGGCCGGTTCCTGCCTGAACAGCAGTTCCTGCTGGCAGATGAGGAGTTCGAGAAGAGGTTCAACTTCTCGCTGGGTGCTACACTGGCCAAGACGGACCGACGCAACCTGTTCAAGGTAGGCCGATAAGTCATAACGTTTAATTTATTTTTATGTCATAGCGGGAAGGATGGGCTTTTTTGGTAATTTTGTTTAGAAGCGCATCGACTGCTGTGCTGAGCACACCTAAATTTATCCGTATTTTGTTGTGCAATTCTCTGATTTTTTTTTGTAGTCAGTGTTCTGGCTCGTATTTCTACGACTTCTGGTTGATTTATTCTACTAAATGCCTTCATGTCGATGGCGATATTTCGCATATTTCATACATAGTAATCTCTCTCGCAGGGGATGAGTTTCTTCATTACTCCGGGCGTTGTCCCGAGTAAGCGGATCCTGGCCGAGATCATCCACTGTTCGGGCGGCACTGTCGAGGAGAAGATGCGTCCGCTGAAGGCTCTGAAGGAGGCGCGTCAGCAGAACCACTACATTATCACCTGCGAGGTCGACCTGCACCTGATCGACGACATATACATGACCGGACTGCGTGAGTGAATGAGGGCGCGGGGTTTGAGGTGGTTGGGGATGAGGGGACGTAAATGAACGGTGCAAGTGATTTGACTTGTGCAAATGGTAGTGGAGGATGACATGGACAGCTTTCGCTGACTCGACCTTTATTGAAACGTATTGTGTTCTTTTTCATTATCATTCAAGTAGTTAGGGCAAACTCAAATTCACACATATACCCGTTTTAGAAGTTACCGCGACGATTGTTAGAGTTTTCGTCCAACGATTTGATAACGATAGTCTTTGCGCGTTCCAACTAGTGATGTTATTTTCCAAAAAATGTCTGACCGATACCGACCGAAACCAAAATTTGGGAAAAATTTCCGACCGAATACCGACCGATTACATCCCAAGCCAAAATTTGACCGAAATTTGACCGAACTTCTATTTGCTATTACTCTACCCCAAAATTAAAATATTTGGTAAATTCTGATGGAAAATAATGGGAAATGGCATTTCAGTCCAAGTTCAGTCAATTCTTAGCCACTGCAAAATACATATTGTGATAGAAATTACATTGCTGAGGGTATAGCAACACATGGACCTCAGCATTTCACAGATTTAGTTGATAAGAATTGTCAAGAATCTACTGTGGTCTATGTAAGGAAGAATGCTCATTCATGTTGCAAAAGCACGATCAATTAGTATAGTCAAATGGTTGGTAATAGGTATGTTCATGACAACATTCCCTAGGAGAAAAGGCGGAATCAAAACACTACAAAACACATCAAAACTGCTTGGAAACTTGCCTTGAGTCTTGAGATGTGGTCTGAGATACTCTACAAATAATTTGACACTGAAAATCCAGCTGAAAAGGCAGCTATTAGGTAGCTCTGAGCTTGAATTTTGTCCCTAAAATGAAATGAAAATTCATTACACAGGCACTTTGTCTTATCTCTTGTTTGTCTTATATTTACAAGAAAACAAAATATGCAGACAAAATTAATACCTACAAAGTGGCGCCAAAGTGGCGCAAAAAGTAATAGAAGAACCAAGGATTGACTTTTAAGATCCTCTCTTCTGTAACGAAAGGATGTATGTTGATGACGTAATATTTATTTATATGCCCTTTTGGTCGAATTATTGAAGGGAAATTAATTTTCTTGTAGTGAATTACACTCACAATGTTGATTTCATTAGAATTCAATATCGTGTTGGATCATTTACATCAATAAAATAATTCACGAGGCAGCATGTAACAATCCAAAACTTTTTTTGCAGCAACTTTATCAGCTGGTTTAAAGTCTCTGTTATGGCGCATCTGTTTCGAAATCCTTCCTTGTGTTTGGAATGTGGAAGATCCAGAAATCGGACGTGGGCCGATGTAGTTTTTGTCAAGATTCCTATGTTTTTATGTTGTGGTCATCTAGATTTCAAACATTTGGTTGGTACCTGCAATATTTAAGGAGAATGTGGGATAGTAGAACACCTGTGAAATGTAAATGTGATCACTGCTAAGTGCTAAGTGCTAACTGTCCAGTTTTCAGAAACACATTTCAGTAATTCCAATTCAAGGTATTTTTGTCCTTGCATTTTTGATGACTTAGGCAATACTTCTTTGATTACAGGTGAAATTTTACCAGTTAGACTGGAATAGAGTTTCAAAATTGTGTGTACTTGTGGGGCCAACTGAATCAAAATCAGCCTGCTTGTCGTTGTGGTTGGACAATGGGTGGCTGCTGCCTGCTGGGTGGGTTGGCTAATGAGGTTGCCAAAATGTGGCATTTGGCATTTGGGGGAAATTTTGCAACTCTATCATTAACATCCCAATAAATTTCATTTTAACTAGGCAAAAAAGGAATACTTTCTCTTTTTGAAAATGGTTTCACTGGCAGGGTGACCGAAAGTGTCCGATTTTTGGGGGGCCTGACCGACCGATTACCAAATCGGTCAGCATATCTTTTCGGTAACCGAAATTTTCGGTAACCGATTGACACCACTAGTTCCAACCATGTCGCCCGCCTGTTGCAGCCATCTACAACGCCGAGTTTGTGCTGAGCGCCATCATGCGTCAGATGATCGACTACACGCGCTCCTGCTACGTCCGGTCCGAGCAGTAGTGGCCCCAAGAGCCGGCGGAGGCGATGGAGGTTGACGGCGGTGACGACGGCGGCCACCACGCTTGGCCGGACGGCAGCGCGAGGGCCGACCCTGCCGCCGACGACGGTGGTGGGGATGGGGGAGACGCTGAGAGCGAAGAAATCTCAAACGGTGGTTCTTGTAGTGAGCTCGGGACGTTGTGGCGTGTGCCGGGTGGACGCCAGCCGCCGCAGGTTGGAGAGCCGGTGGGTGTGGGTGCCGTGCGCCGACACCGCCCTCTGCCCAGCTGGAGCACCTTTGGGCGTGGTGAGGCGCCCACGATGCCGGTGCAGAGGCCACCGACGGTTCCTCTGGATGTGGTGTATCCGAATCTGCCTGTGTTGAACTCCTGCGCGGTGGAAGAGGAGCTATTGGTGCATGGCGGTGTCACCCAGCCACCACCGCCACCGCCTGCGCCGCGGCCGCCACCCCCGGCCTACCGACCGCCCAGCGCGGGCAGTGGTACGCGGGGCGGCCGCGGAGCGAACGGTAGAGCACGCGGCGGCAGACGTTTCGTGGAACTCACCCCTGCCGCGCACATCAATGCAATCGCCAGGCAGTTGATGGCCAGCACGAAAGAGGCTTTCGGCGTCGACTGGGATGACGTCGGGGGCACCCGCGGCGAACGGTCTGAAGGGACCGGTTTTAGTACAAAAACTGTTCAGGAGGACACCCGACGCAACGGCGCGGGTGAGCGGCACAGCACAGTACCTGAACACGGAGCAGAGTCGGCTCTGCACGGCGGCGACGCCCGGTATAATGTCGCTGCCGACACGGGCGACGCGTCTTCGATGTTGATGACGCCGGCAGCGGCAGCGGTAGAGGCGGTTTCTAGCGATGATGTCTGTGGCGGCAGCGGCGGTGCTTTAGATTGGACACAAGAAGGGCGTAGAGACGGCCAGCTTCATGCTGCTCTTGTCGATTCGATAAGCGATGATGCAGCTGTAAGTGTTGAAAATAATTATGTGACCTTGTGTTCTACCTCAGTGGGCGATGGGCAGCGGAGTGACGTTAACGCTTTGAGAGTGTATGCGTCTAAAAATGGTGCGAGTAGAGGGAGTGGCTCAGACACTATCACATTGTATGCTTCTGTAGACGCCGGAGGTGAAGTTGGGGTGGCTCGCGGGACGGCCGACCTCAGCATCGCGGACAGTGAGACGACTTCTGCTTCGGAGGGAGAGGAGTGGCGAAGAGGGGACCAAGAGGCTGCCATGTCGATGCTGAGCGAAGGCGGCGCTTGGACCATGAGCTCCACGCTAAGCGAACTAGCGGCCTTAAAAGCGGGAGGTTCTGATGTAGTGGCAGGGAGTTCCAGCGTTGAAGTTGCCGATGCCGAACCGGTAGGCTGTGGGGAAGGCAAGTTAGCAGCGCCTGAGATGGTGGCGACCACGATGCCGGTCGGTGGATCAGAAGTGCCAAGTGATAATCGCTCGGCCTGGGCGAGAATGCTGGAAGACTGCCCTAGTGCTGACGTGAAAGTGGAACCGTCAGACGACTCTGAGACACCCTGGTCTCAGTCGGCCTCGATGGACCCAGTCGGTGCTCTGCTGAGCTCACCAGGGACTGGACACAGATCGACTTCGCCTAGTCCTTCAGACACGCCGAGCACAGCAGTTAGCCAGGATTCAGAAAAACCAGAGTCGTCGGATCATCACAGCACGGACCGGTCATCAAGAAAGAAAAGCAGCAAGAAGAAGCGGAGGCGAACGCCCAGTAAATCTGACAAGACCAAGAGCTCCTCGAGGGACGCTGCGGGGACAGTACGCACCACGCCAACAAAGAAGTTGGGTGAGTCCAGCTCTTCTGGACGAAGCCAACCATCCTCGGAGAAGGCGCGGAAGGACTCGCCAAGCTCTGGTCATCGCTCTCGATCGAAAACCAAGCATGATTCGAAAAACGGTAGGACGACTCCACAAAAGTCATCTAAGGGCAAATCCTCTCCACGCAAACCCTCGTCACACAGATCCTCTTCGTCCAGATCTTCTTCGCAAAAGTCATCTTCACACAAATCCTCATCTCACAAGTCCTCACAATGTTCATCTCTGCGCAAGTCCTCTTCACACAAGTCTTCTTCACAAAAATCCTCTCCGTGTAAGTCAGCTTCACAGAAGTCCTCTCCTCCCAAGTCATCTTCAAAGAGATCGTCTCCTCGCAAGTCGTCTGCGCAAAGGTCCTCTTTCTCCCATAAGCCATCTGGAAGCAAGTCTTCCTCGCAAAAACCCTCTCCCGGCAAGTCCACGCCGTGTAGGTCATCTCCGCGCAAGCCATCTTTCCAAAAATCTTCCGAAAAATCATCATCTCACAAGTCCTCTTCGCATAAGACATCTTCACAGAAGTCTAGTGTTCCGACTCACGCCAGGGATAAGGGTTCTCCTAGTGTTAAAAAACACTCTAAAACCAAAGACGACGCTAAGAATGGCAAGACAACGCCACACGCGTCCTCTGATTCGGGGAGCCATCTGTCAGCCTTTGATAAGCTGTTACTAGACTCGTCCAGCCCGAAGCAACGCCCGAAGCCCAAAGCTACGGCAGCGTCTTGCGAATCCTCAGATTCGGACGCTGTCGCAGGAGGTGAAAGTCTCTCAGCCTTTGATAGGTTGTTGCTGGATTCACCGAGCACCAGTCGACTCGTGAAATCTAAGAACTCAGCAAATAATGGCTCGGCAACGCCACTGAAACCCACTGGGCAGAAGTCCACTCCTTCCAAGTCCTCTGATTCGTGGGCCAAGGGCAGCAGTCTTCCATCATTTGACCAGCTTTTGCAAGGCACCTCCAGCGCCCCTCAGCCACTGAAGACGACCTGCAGCTCAGACGAGCTAGCGTCATCTGTTGTTCATGGTAGCACCTCGGTTTGGGCAGACATGCTTGGGGACTGTCCCAGTGCCGACCATCCAGCTCAGAAAGAGGACACCTCGAACATCGCAGCGACTTCTTTCGGAGAAGCGTCCGGTTCTGGAGAGGCACCTGGCGCCCGCCGTGCACCCAAGAAAAGCAGTGGAGAAGGCGACGGTGGAGCAGCCGGCGGGAGCACCATAGGCGCCCTTCTCAGTACCACCCCCGCTGCCTCACGGTCGGACGGTGGCCGATCGCTTCTGAAAGAGCTGCTGGCCGATTGTCCGAGCGCCGATGCAGATCAGCTAACCCTGAAGAAGCTACTGGAGGACTGCCTCAGCGCGAGGCCTAGTCGAGGACGGGCAGCGGGAACGTCCGGGGCAGGTGGAGGCGGCAGTTCAGCGGGCGGCGGCCGTTCGGTTCTGAAGGAGTTGCTGGCGGACTGTCCCAGCGCCGATCCGCGTCGTCTGCGTCTAAAGCAGCTGCTGGCGAATTGTCCCAGCGCTGATCCTGGTCGCCTGCGCCTGAAGGAGCTGCTTGCTGATTGCCCCAGCGCCGACTCTGAACCAGAAGTGGTTGTGTTGGCCGAGACCCAAGGAGACCCTGGCAACCCCAGCTCGGGGAATAAGAGCGGGACTACTGATGACAATCAGCCGCCTCCGCGCGACGAGAGATGACCCAGTGTGCGGTGTTAGCTGCCGCCGCTGCTGGCTTCTGTGTAATCTGTGGTTTATTTCTGTGGATTAACCGCCACTATGGACTAATCGCGATAGTTCCGCTGGCCTGCTGCCGTGTCGGTGTCGCCGTGCCGTGCTTTCAGAGCTGGATCAGCTCAATGAGAAATGTGGGTTGTATGAAGAAGGAACTCTGAAGTGCAAGCGCATTCTTTGATGCTGTGTTGCCTATCTTCTTTTGTATAAAATTCTTCATTTTGTACCGTTTTTATGTGCATTGTATCATAAGCTCGGCCTATGGAAAGCGGGTGCACACATTGTATTACTGTACAGAGCTTACCTTTGGTTGGTTTGCGCGTCCGAAATGAAGCAACATGCCAGTGACAGTTCGCTCTTCGGTCGTTCCAAGGGCATTGTTTTCTTATAGCTATCGGCACTGTGTACTAGTGGTTAGTATCATCTCTTGCCTACGTTTTTTTTTTTTGTCGTTAGATTGGACGTCATTCGATCAAGTTTTCTGTTTCGAAACGATAACTTCGAGCCATTGAACCAGTTGTGTTCTGTCATTGTTTATTCGCGGATCTCAGCCTATGGCAACTGTCGCGTGTTGAAACTGACCTGAATTCCTTCCAAAATTGTGTAGATAACACGTGCCGTGAAGGAATAGCTGCAAAACACTGCCAACCCCAATCGTGTGTGCCTGTGAAAATCATGTTTGCTCTCGTGCCGGTGTGCCGAGAGCAGTGTGTGGGCGTGACGGCTTGGAGTGCGTTTTATACCGAACGATTTGTACCGAGACACCCGAATAAAAGCCAACTCGGACCACCTGTCTCAATGGGCTGTAATCGGGAGGCGACCGCACGCGTGCCGCCGCATAGACTCGTCGCGACCGGTCGGCCGTGGGGAGGCGGGGCGGGCGGCGCCGCCCGGCTCTAGCGAGCGGACCGCCGGTGAGCGCCGCCGCCGTCGCACCGCTGACGATGATTCAGTGTACACAGGTGTGTGAAGGTGAGCGGGTGGGTGCTGCGCCGGGCCGTGGTGATCGTCCAATGATCGTAAACCGGCGGTGGTCTGTCAGAGGCTGACCGAGCAGTGGTGCGCAGATCGGCTGGAATAGGGAGGTCAGGTGGTGAAAAGTGACTGGTGCGATAACAGTGCTGTGGGTGACCGGGTCAATAGGTGACCTTGTTGACCGGAGGTCAACTCACGTGTTGACCTTTGGTGAAGTGTCAGCTCACGAGTTACCCACTATCCCCAGACTAGCCCGTCTGGCGTCTGGGGACACACATTCGCCCACCCCTTCCGTCGGGGTGCCGTGTCCCGTCCCCATGGCTGCGGCCTACATGGACACCAGCAGCATCAGTAGCGGCGGCGCCGACATGTCTCCCGACGAGCCCCCTTTGGACGAAGCGGCGGCGCGTGCGCTGCTCGCTCAGAAGGAGGAGGACCTCTTGCTGGCGGCGGAGCTCGGCAAGGCACTGCTGGAGAAGAACGAACAACTGAGCGTGGATAACGAGAGGACGGCTGCCGAGTATGCCAGACATCTGGAGGTAAGTTATCGGGGAGAGAGGGAGGGGAATTCAAGGACTTGGAATGCATTGGGAGCATGGGTTAGGGGAGGGCTGAGAGGATGGGGGGGGGGGGTGAATGGTACCTTTTAGTACGAGAGGAACGACGGATGAAGGAAGGAACGACGGAGTGGTAAGACGAGGAGAAAGGGTAAGATATGGGATCATTAGTTACGTATCTGATCTGATCTTCGACCGTGAGATAGGCATATAGGCATCTTTTTATTTAGTGATAGACTTGAAATGCCTACTCGGTCACGTGGGTCGGCTGACTTGACTGCTGGGAGTCGAGGGTGGGGTTGGGAGAACTGGGGGGTTGGAGCGTGGATGTGGTTTTGTTTGAATGATTAGAGAATATGGGTCGGGGCTGGTGTCTGGCCGCCGTCGCTATACCGTCCATCGGAAAAAAGCGAGGACTGGGATCGGTAGGTATGTGGGCGTGGCGACAGCACTGAGCGTCATTCATCCACGCCATGACGGGGGGGGGGGGGGACTGGGGGGGGGGGGTCAGTTGACTCCTTCATAGGTTTTCGCCAAAAGCTGATAAACGGCAGACGTTTCCACAAAAAAACGTCTTTTTGACGGTTCTGCCCTAACTTTCATATGACTTCATCAGTGATTGGATGTCGGCCGTTAGTGATGTCAAACTAATTGAACTAAGCTGATCTCTGTTACCCATCCTCTGCTTTTAACTTTTTATATTTGACTGAATACATAAAAGGTACCGAAAGATCTTCAAAAAGTTGTCGAGTGCCTGATCTGCGATGCTTTAGCTCCATGATAAGTTCACGAATTAGGCATGAATAAATTTGTTCAATAACACAAAAATGGGAATTTGACCTTTCATGGCCTGGTGTGTGATGGCCTATGACCTGATTTTGGCTGAACTTCGAGGATCCCCCCTCCGCCTCCCGCGCCTCGATGTGTTACGATCGGACCGTTGTCCTTGCGGGTGTATTCCTACATGCCGGGGTATGTCTTAAGCACAGCACGAGCCGGGCAGTAAAACTATGACCAAGAAACTGTCGGTGTCAAATTGCCATGTTATTTGATAGGCCGGGCAGGAAACAAAAGTTTACTGCCCGGGTTTACTGCCCAGGGCAATGACCTCTAAACTACAGTTTATCGCATTAGCCCAGAGGTATAATTGATAGGGAATGTATAATTGACATCATTATTGGATGATATTTGCCGCGTAAAATTAGAAAACCAACATTTTTTTGGTAAAAAATATCTGCTCTGCTTATCATGGGTTTTGAAATACTTTGTATTGGTTACAAAGCCGAAATTATGGCTCCTATTAATCGAAATCCGTTATCGCTTGTTTCTTATCTTCGTTTGATATGTCCACTGATACTTTGGGCCTAAGTTATTCCGTTATTATTTGACAGTTGTAGTCCTTTCCTCGAAACAAACATGTAAAATATGGAAAATATAATATATTTCACGAAAGTTTAGCCATAGGTCACCAACAAAGTACGATTACATAAATAAAGAAAAGATTCTTGCAAGAGCACTGGAAAATTCACGTTTAATCACTAGGAATATTATACCTTCTACCTTCTTCTTGTTCTTATGTCGTGGCAAATTATTCATGTATGATGTTCCTTGGATATCCAATTGTTGTGCCATTCTGAGTTGATATTTTCAGACGCGATTCTTTTTTAAGTGAGGTATTTTGATGCATTTTCTTCTATAAATTTCCTTTAAACCTTTATCCACAGCAGTAGCGCAATCACTGTTCGGAAATTATGGACAAAACAATTGTATAAAAGTGTCACCAGAACCTGCCGAAACTACTTAAAGGAAAAGGGCCACCTTTAACATGGGGATTGAAACTGAGATAGCCATCTTGTAGCCCGTGTCCGAAAACCTATTTGTCTACCCCCTTACGGCCGATTTCGGCCTCCATTCGTAGTTATCGGCAATTTTAAAAGAAAATATGCCAGGAATGCGTTCTTATCCCAGGAATGCGTTCTTATCCGACAATACAGCCACCCGCGGCGAGGCTTTGGTTTTTAACCAATCAGCTTGCAGCAGTACTGATCAGGCACGGATCCCTGTACTAGCGAGCAGACCACGAGCAGTTGCGTTATTTTTCGTTATCTGTTCTGGCAATCGGCCGGCGGATGAACATCCGCAATCGAATCTTGAAATCCGTCGCGCTGATTGGTGATGAGTTTCATGAGCTACTTTCATGAGGTCTATGAAAGTAAACCTATGCTATGCCCTGAACAGATGACATCTCGTTTGGTAGCCAATTGCTAAAATGTATTTTTATCTTACGCAAGGCAGTATACCATATTTTATATACCGTGGCTCTGATCCGAAATCAGGGCATTTTTGTTCGAACAAATACCTATAATAACGATGAAGAAGTGCGTGATCCGCGGAGCAAACGACCTACGTCGGGTCGGGACTGATATCCGTGTGACTGTGCACAAGTAAGTAGGTACCTAGGTAGGTACCTAAATTCTTATTTATTGCAATGACTCTTCTATTACTTTTGTTTTCACAGAACTCTCCCCTGGATTAGCAAACCCTTTGGAACTGTTCAGGCTTTCACAACTGAAATGCCAGACTGGATAAAAAAACACAAGTTATGCCGAATATGTCATGCGAAGTGGCGTGATTGTGGCGTTGCCCCGAAAATTTCATCGCACATCCAGCATAATTTTGCATGCGTCAAATTCAGCGCATGGTGGCAGCTGAATTTTTAGGCGCAGGGTGACCGCATGGCGCATAATGTTAATGCAAATGGCTGTCACCGAATTTTTTGACACGCTGTGGTCAATCTAGCAGCAGACTTGCCCTGCGGGCGCTGGCAGGTCTGAAGAGAGTCGGAACTTCCGGCCTGGGCCTTGCTTCACCTTAAGATTCTACAGTGTACCACACAAATTGTGGTATTGGGTTTTCATGGGAACATTAACTAATTCAGACGCTCAGAAAGGGAAGAGCGTCTGACTCCGAGGCCCCGGAACGATCTGTCTGGTTGATATAGCCTTGGTTACGGAGCGAGCGAAGCGAGCGTAGTCTTTCCTTAGATTAACGGAAATTTCTGAGTATGAGCGGCCGGCCGGCCGGCCGTGGTCACGCTTTTGCGAGGCTTATATCTCAGCAACCACTTGACCGATTTACATGCGGTAATTTTTGTAGGGTAGCTTCATTCCTTCTACCAAGTATTGGACTATTCCCGATGCATGCGGGTGACCCCTTATGCACGTGCCACGTGCAAAACGAAGAGGTGTCACTTTTGTAATTGTTGCAATATCTCGGTAACTACTTGGCCGATTGCGCTGAAAGTTGGCATGTAGGTAGGCACCCACTAGGCAATGCATATCCATGTGCCAGAGTTGGGGTGCTGCTGCACGTGCGCACGTGCAGGGGTCGATTCCAGATCTCGAGAACGGCTGGACCGATGGCGCTCAAATTTGGTACATGGTTAGGGACCGGTTAGTAGGGAGCCGTGCAAAAGTCAGTTGGGACCCATTTTGCACGTGCGCACGTGCAGGGTGCCGCTTCCAGATCTCGAGAACGGCTGGGCCGATTGTGCTCAAATTTGGCACATCGCTAGAGACCGGTTAGTAGGGTGCCGTGCACAACTCAGTTGGAGGTACCCCCGCGCAATTTCGCACGTGCAAGGCTCACCCTCTCGCTCGCTCCGTTAGTCGCCCCGAAAGGCGTTATACTGGTCGGTAGATATGCACATGTGCTTTATGTAAAAGTGGCTTAATTTTGGTGCAAACAGGCACCCAACTTTCAGTGGAAATCATGCACTGGAATTTCAGCTCAAAATTGCTTGCTTCAAATTTTGGCGCATGAGGGGCTCACGGGCATCCGGCGTAGTGTATGGATGTTTTCCAGTCTGGCTGAAAGGCAGAACTCAGACACATTTATCCAGCCCTTCAAATCCCATTTCCTGGTTGTGGTAACACCTACCTTTCCATGGGGGTTTGGTTCATCTCTTGTCTACACAGTTTTCTTTCACTTATGTGCTGACAAGAAAAGGAAACTCACCAGAGCCCAGTTTCACCAAGTGCGGTAAACTCAATTTGGGGTAAACTACCAAACTACCCCACTACTTAACTACAAAAACTACCCCAAAATTAAGTTTAGCGCACTTGGTGAAACTGGGCTCAGTGGAGCTATTCAGCTTAATACACAGAGTATGTGTTGCATGGACTAAGCATGTGTTGACCCTTTTTTACTTTTAGGTTCCCGCTAAAAAAAGAAGTACAGAGAAAAGTGGATGAGGGTGTGTGGCATGACCAATGAGCCAAGACCACATGACCACTTTAACTTAACAAGAAGTGCGCACCATGATAAGCACAGTCAAAAACGTTTGCGTCTAAAGAACAGTGCTGTGCCGGATCAGAATGTAAGTTATTTTTTAAAAGTGATGAAAATGCCTGCTATATTGTTTAAAAAAAAGTTATCAAAAGACTTTGAATATTGTTTTTGTAACACTTCACTCTAAAGTTATTCCTAGTACCAGACATTACAGCTTTAGTGCAGAGTCTTTATTTGTGATATTTTTAGCCAAAAATTATTACTAGTACCGAGCCCTTACAGCTTTACAGCCCTAGTACCTTGCCGTTATTTTTTATATTTTTTAGCCATTTCAACCTAACCGAATATCTGTATGTTTGTATGTTATTGTTTTGATCTGTATTTTATGCTACCTCCCTATAGGTAAGTTTTATTAAAACATGTGGTAACGGTGTGCTGATTTTTTACAGATTCCGTATACGCCTTGGGTTGCTGTCGCTGCTCGGTCACCCACAGATGAAAGTGATCAAGAAATGGACATCACTCAGGTAAGATTCAAGCGTCCTTTATTTTACACATAATACACTAAGCAGTAGCACCCTAACCGCAACATATGGGAATGCATTGCCTGGTGGGTGCCTACTGCCTACCTGTATGCCAAGTTTCAGCTAAATCGCCCCAGTAATTACAGAGTTATTGAAATGGGAACAAATTCAGCACCTCTTCTTTTTGCATTTTGCACGTGCAGTGGGGGTCACTCACATAGATCAAGAGCATCCGACCTTTGGTTGAAGGGGTGCAGCTACCCTACAAAATTTACCGCAAGACCGCCCAAGCGGCTGCTGAGATGAGCCTCTCAAAATCACTTCTTTTGCAACTTTTGACAAATAACACCCTTGACTTTTCACGTGGCACGTGCCACGACGGTCCCTGTAATGTATCAAGAGTAGTCAATTACGGGGTAGAGGGAATAGGGCTAGCCAACAAAAAAAAAGACCGCAGGCCAATCGGTCCAGCGGTTGCTGAGATATAAGCCTCTCAAAAGCGTTACAGGCCGGGCCGGGTCGGGCCGCTCATACTGAGCTTTTTCCGTGATATTGAAAAGACTTCGCTTCGCTCGCTCGCTCGTAATTAACAATTCATGGTTGACTCTATGGATTAAGCTAAGTGATTGCGCTCTATTAGCACACTATCTAAGTAGCCCTTAATTGCTGCCGGTGCGTGGACTGTGAAAGTGAGCCGAGCTGTGACGCAAACCGTGCGCCTTTTTCAGGTGTGGGATCACTCGTGGAAGTTCACGTCGGGTACGGAGCCGTGCATGCAGCTCTGGTTCGATCCTGCTCAGGGAAGCCCCAATGACGCCGTGGCGCGCATCTGGGCTGAGCGGGTGGTGGCGGCCGGTGCGCGGGCGCTGCCGCGTGGCTGGTGGCCGCGGCCCTGGCGGCAGCGGCCCGCTCCTGACCCGGTCGCCCTGTGCCGAGCACAGAGCGCCGACTGAGGCCAGTCTTGTGATCGAGCTTCCGCGCCGGAGGTGGAACAGGTGGAGCTGGCGGTCACCTGCGCGGGCTCGGCGGCCTGTAAGCCGTGCCGAGACGAACCGCGACACTCTTGCTAGATCTGCACCCCATTGTAATCTTCTGTAGTCGATATTCGGTAGGTACTCAATGCTCATTTTTCTTATATTAGACGAGTGGCGTGTTTTGATGTTACATTGGAGACTGCTGTCTCAGGTGGCCCGACAGTGTTCGATTGTGGTGTAATGTAGATACATAGACGGGATGCCGCGGCTCGGATTCGTAGCTGGACTACCATGTGCCTGTCGATTGAGATGCTTTGCCTGGCGATTGAGATGATTCGGGGCGCGGCCCCACACTGACGCCATGGTGCAATGAGTGACTGGCGACAACTAAGCAATTATGTACTTTTGTAGAACACATGTTTTCATGGATACGAGAGGCAGTCCTTTTTTTCGCTAGCAGTCATTTGGTTCACGATACTTTCGATACCGACAAATATGTTCGGGCGGCCGGTGCTAATGCGTGCTTGCCCGCCGATGCCTAACGGAGCGCTGTGCTGTCTACGCTCACTGGTCGCTGGCCCGAGAGCCGTTCGGTTGCTGCTGTTAAAACAGTTCTCACAAAAACACGCTGGCTGGCTGCCAGTTCTTCACCAATGAGAGGCCCAGTAGCATCAGCAGGTAGCATTGTTTAATATTACTATTCCATTTTGTTTACCCATATGTCCGACTTAGAGCCGACTGGTAAAAAGCGGCAACCGAGCAGCCCTCCGCAGCGCTGCAGATCATGTACGCTCGATTATACACAATATATGTGTCTTTCTTGCACACAGAGACATGACGTTTTGTAGAGGTTTTATATCGCTTGCGGCTGAAAGGAATATTGTACATTTTAGAGCTTTCATATACGCGAGAAAATATGGTGCAAAAAAACATTTATGAAGCCTGTTGAATTTTAAAGGTTGTTGGGACATTTCACAGACTGTGTCGGTGGGCAGGGCAGCCCGGCCCCGGCCGCCGCCGCCTCCTTCACTGGTATGTGGCAGGGACGGAAGCTTCGTATTGATATACCGGGGTGCAACTCAAGCAGCATATCACCTATCAAACAACCTTCGGTTATGAAGTGAATGAAAACTAAATATTATGTATAACTGTGGTCTGCGCTGCGGTGTTTCCAAAGTGGAGGAAGTACGGGGAGCTGGACCCAGACTCGATGAGCCCTCTACTACGGATCTGGGTCTTCGCAGCTGATCGTCTGTGAATGAGAGATGATATGATACCAATGCATACCGAACGGATCAAAAACAGTGCCATTATATATTTGCAATTCTACAGCTTTACGTAAGCCCATCCTAGTGAATGCATTAATACGCGTTGATTTGACAACTGACATCCGGTTGAAGGCGTTTTTTTTTTCGGCCAACAGCCGGCCAGCAGTTGTTGCAGGCCGGCCTCGTTGGGAAGCAGGTTCATTTTCCGACAGCCACTGCGTGCGGAAGCACTCTCTGATGGCGCGGACGGCGCGCGCCGGCTCCTGTTTCTGTAACGTGTAGAGGCGGGTGTCGAGCAGCTGGGCGCGTAGCGGGCGGTCCTCGAGCACGCAGAACGCGGCCCGAGTGGTGGCAGAGTCGAGCGTCGCGGCGCGGCCGCCGTCTGTTCCAGCTCGGCGTCGGCGCGCCCCTCGGCGAACAGCAGGTGCAGCTGACGGTCGGCCAGGCAGAAGCCGCTGATGCCCGGCGTGCTGACGTCGCCGGGCCGGCGCGGCGCGGCGCCCTCGGCCGCCGCCGGGCTGGGCGGCTCGTTGAGCTGCTGGATGAGCTGCAGCACGCCGCTGCGCTGCAGGCCGCGCTGCGAGACGACGGCCAGCAGGCGGCCGTAGGCGCAGCGCGCCGGCGGCGGCCGCGGCAGCAGGTCCAGCGGCACGGCCAGCGACACGGAGACGGACAGCTGCGCCGCCGACTGGAGCAGCTGCAGCGGCCCGAACGGCGGCGGACACGTGCCGCGCTCAATGTCGGCCGCCGGAGAGGCAGCCGGTCCGGCCGGCACCGCTGTCAGCGGCACCTCCACACTGAGCAGACGCACGCCGCGCGTCAGGGCAGAGACGTCCACCACCACCTGCCGCGCACACAGAGGGCCGACATTGGTGACAGCGCGCGGCGGGTCAGACCTCACAGTGGGGATAGCGGCAGCGGGTCAGACACCCTTATAGAACAGCACGGGGCGGAGCCGACAAAAGAGGACGAGGAGACGGTCATACAGCCGACTGAGGTCCGGGCACCGACTGACTCAAAGTGCTGAACATGTCACACATTTCTAAATGGCTTCTGTAGGACGGAATAGTGTCTCTTCCTTCCAAGGCTTACTTGCAGAATAATATGGAAAGACACAATTTTACAAGTTGTGTTTTTATGACATAAGATTAAAGTTTTTTATAACATTTCAACACGCAAACATCATACCTTGACAATTGTTCACGATGAAGATCATGTAGGAACATTTCATATTTAGTCACCCTTGATTATTTTGTTGATAGTGATGCGAAAGGCAAATTACCAAAGTATATATTTGCAATTATTTGAGTTAATAATTTCAACTTTTTTTGTGTTGAAAATTGACTTTTGAAACAATAAAGGCAAATGAATTATCAGTGTCTGGAAAGGTGCAATGCTGAAAGCTTCTTATTACATTCTAATTTATATCTAAAGCTTTGTGATATCCAAACTCTCAGAAATAACCAAGGACGTAACCAAGGAGGGGGGAGGGGCACGGGAGCCATGCCCTCGTAGTCGTGCCCCTTCCCCCCTCGGTGATGGCGATTTTTTTTAAATAAAACCAGCTGTGACACCCCCCCCAAAAATAGTGGGCCTAATCCCAGAAATTTTCCTTTTTTGGAGGGGGTACAACACTAGGCCACAACCTGTGCCCCCCCCCCCCCCTGAGCAAAATCCTGGCTACGTGCCTGGAAATAACAAAGCACATCCTATCCTTTGATGCCACTTACCAGCAGCTTTGCGCACTACCAAACAGCCACCTTTGCGCCTTTGTTGTTCTTGTTTTGGGCATTGTCAGTGGTAACTGGAAATAATCAGACATGATGGTCAGAGTAGGGAATGTGACTACTACATCAAAAATCATTTGATTCCTATAATATCGACATGATTTAATAGAAGACCTTTTTCTTAAGAAAGTGTCATGGATACCAGCTAATCTGTATGGTATTTATCTCCAGCATTATCATATAGGTATAACAATTATCACCACCCGCCACCATTGAATGTAGGTTTTAGGTTGTAGGTTGTAGGTGGTAGGTTGGGTATCGGTAAAGCTGGTGTCACCGTCAGCGCTAACCGGTAAATGTGTAGATAAAAGGAATCTTAAAAACAATCTAACCTAACCTAACCTTACCTACTGACCTACAACCTACCTACCCACAACCTACCAAACTAATATACGCTGACAGTGATGCCAGCTTTACCAATGACGTACGTTGTAGGTTGTAGGTAAGGCTAGGTGAGGTAAGATTATGTTTCATTATATATTTACTGAGAAGACGGCTGAATGCTCTTGAGACGTGGCTATACATTTACATTTTGTAAGTAATTTTCAGGTTTCAATGAATATTTCCTAGTGGAATGTTTTGAAAACCATTCTAAATGATGACCTTTAGCATTCAATAGTACTTTAAAGCTAATTAACCACATCGCCAATGCTAGGTCACATTGCATGCCTACTTCCACCGGCAGCTCCATGGGATATATGATAGGCAGGGGTAAATGGAATATTTTTTATTAATATTCTTGAAGAAAATTATAGGCATGAAAAGAAGATGATCTGCCTTTGAGATTGATATGTGATGCCTACTTTGGAGGAACATAATCATAATAATTACACAATCATAAAAAATGCAATGTAACCAAACAGCCGCTTATGCCGCAAAATGAGAATCAAGCCAATCACTGAGGACAAACAATTTCAAACCACCAAAACTATATTCTTGCTATTCACCAATAATCCTAAAATAGCGTTCCATGGCCATTATATGCACCTTTCACCCTTACCTCCGACAGATAACTAGCGCCACGGGCAGACACACGGGGCGACAAGTTGTTTACAACCGCTACAGTCCGACGAGTCTATCCTCCTCAAGGCTGATTGGCTTGAGTGTGACGTCATTACTATGACATCATACCCCAGCGAACAATTCTGATTGGGGCCCAATTGGGCTGAAGCCGGACCAGCCCGAGTACGATACTTGGGCTAGCCCCGGTCCAGACTGGGATCTTACTTGGTTTTTGACACACCTAGCCCAACGCAATTCCGAGTTTTGCCCAGTCGGGCCCCACTACGACTTGCCCGAGCCAAGTCCGGGTTATGGGATTCAAGTTGGGCTGAGCCCACGTCCTCCCATTGGTTTAACTATTGCGCTAACCTGTGGCCCCACGTGGGCTTGCCCGCGTACGCAGCAGCGCTGCCGGTCGGACCCCGGGTGGGCAAGCCCAGGTCATTTCTGGGTTACGGGGACCTCGCATGGGCAAAGCCCGAGTTATGCCATCGGCTGCACTAGTGCGCTAACCTGTGGCCCCATGTGGGCTAGTCCGGTTTATAACTCGGGCAAGCCCAGGCCAAAGCCGGTTGGGTCCCGATCCATTATTTCCACCTGCCATGGGCGGATGCAGTGTTCGTGTGATCATACCTCCTTCCTAGTCACTTAGGCCATAAAATGATCAGAGAAAATTTGGGATCGATTGGTGTTCGTTCCGTGTTGATCGAATACCGCGACAAACTTGTTATCTTGTGACGTTCGAAGCAACATACGACGGAAGAAGCAATGAAATATAATAATTAATGGTAAAAAGTGATTTGAAATGTCATTGTAGCTCAACCATTCAATTTTGTTCATTACTTAGATTATCATATTTTTAGTTACTTGGTCGTTCATCCTACGTAACTATCATATACTACCTAGTCCTACGTAATCGTTAAATCGTAACTACCAAACTGTCTCTTTAATCGTTCACATTCGTGCGGCCTACCTGCTCTACATTGCTACCATGTGTTACGGGGAATTAATATGGTATAGCCGGCGGCTGCTTATAATGGAATATCCTGTACGGTGTTCCGCTTGCGAGTTTTACTGAGTTTTACGGCGGTGCGATCGCTGGGGCTTGATACTGACTGAAAAGAGTGAATACAAATGACTGTGTTGGATTGTTTAGCTATTCTCCCACATTCACCATTGAAATTGTGGCTTTACCGCCCTTCTTATTAAAGTTATTCAACTTAATTTAGGTTCATATATTTAGAGGCGACACGCACATCCTCTGGCGGCCGCCGTCACATCCTCTGGCTGCGACCCGCACGGCAGGTGGCAGCACCCGCCCGCGTTCCACGTGCCCATGCAATATCCGGGCTCAGCCCGTGTAAGGGATCCTACTTGGGCATGCCCGAATTCAGCCCGAGTTACAGTCCGGATTGGGTTGTGGCATGCCCAGATGTTGTCCGACTTGGGCCCAAGTTTCGGATTCTCCATGGGCCTGCCCAAACTCTGCCCGAGTCGCGTATTTAGCTTGGGCTCAGCCCAACCCAAATCACACTCTAAAGAAACAAATGTTGGGCCAACTCGGGCTTAGCCCAAGTGAAATCCCCCCAGCCCAGCCTCAGCCCAAGTTAATTATTGGCTGGGACAGTAGCTGCGGTAGAGAGTATAAACATAGTACCAATATGTTAAATAGTTTGAAATACTTTTTAGCGAATTATGCACTTCTGGCACCGGTTTTGAAAAGAAAATGGAAAATAATAATGTCAAAATAAAAACCAACGATATCTTCATATTTCAAGAAGGTGGCACTTTTCCTTTAATAGCTGTTCACACGGGCGGTTGTCGGCCGCCAGCTAAGCCATCTAGATGGCCTGGGCAATGGCGGTCTCAGGCCTTCCACAGTCGGTGCCAGTTCAGCACTGTGTTAACGGGTATATTCCTGGGCTCGCCTCTGTTGGCCATCTCGATGGCCTATGGCAGCCCACATATGGCAGCCTCTGGCCATCTCCCTCGGAGATGGCTTAGCGGTGCTAATAAGCAGTCTTGTGCTAATCGGTGGCCGTCGGTTCCTCGGCAGAGGCGTCTGCGCATGCGCACTTGGCAACATCCTATCGTTTTTCTCATTTACCGTAGTCGTCGCCCCGCAGGCTCCGCGCTCCGCAGTTGATTTCGAGTTTTCCACTCGTCGACGTTTGCGAATTTAGTGAGAAAAGATTGCAGATACGCCTATTTCAATTAAGATGAGGTGTTTCAGGTAAGTCAGCATGGCGAAAATTATTACAGCCACACTTTTTGATGGTTTGTCTCATATTTGTTGATATTTCATCGATTGAGTGCATGCGCATTTGCCGCGCTTTGATGGCACGGGGATACACAAGTATTAACATTTGTTAAACCCAGGTAAAGTCTACTCAAGTTGCTGTTAAGTGAAAATTTAATTAAATATGGCACGTACAGATGATTTTTCTTACATTCATTAACATACGTTCGGACAAAATTCTGTCATACAATTGGAATTGCGCGATCGGGTGGTGGGGTCAGGGTCAGCACAACAAGCTATGTTTGGTGCGGGCTCTGATTACTCAAATCCACCCATTCAACCATTCAGACTAAATTTATTTAAAAAAATACAATTAATGATAACCAAAGAAGGATGTTTTAAAGTTTTAACCCGTCTCGGTCTCATCGTTTAAAGCTTTAGTCAAAAGCACATGTGAAGTCACGATACCTTAGATACTGACCAGCCATATAAGCAAAAGAATTCACCTCCCAATTTTTACTTCTGACTTTCTGTTACACCTGCTGCTCAATTTTTGCTGTATTGATTTGTGCTCGTTAAACGATTAGACAGGCTTGAAAAGTCCTACTCAAAACCATTTCAACTTCTTAGTGTTGCTATGTGCCGATACCAATATTTAGGATTACTTACATGAAATGTCATGAATATGCTACCTAGGTATTAAGTATTTCACTGTTTTCCCAGCTCCTGTAATGATTTTTATTAAAGCCAGGCAAATGCATTGGCATAATTTCTGACAAATAGCTTGCCGACGAGCACTGTTGCTCTCTACCAGGGGGCGTCAGGGCAGAAAGTGAAGACTAGGAGCGCAGTTATCATACATATATCTCATATAGAAACAAATATATTTTTGTCTTCATTAAAATTGTATGTATTAAATACCTAAGAGTAATTATTTGTTTTAAAAAAAAATCAATTGGTTATGCTGCACTTAGGGAACTCAGATGGTCAAATCTGTGAAGCTCTAATACAATGTATTATGCATTATTATGCCAGAGTATTTCTCATAGTATTTTGTCACTGTACTTTCCCTCAGTTTTTCCCAGATCATATTCATGTCATGTCAGGTCAAATATTGCTATCACTTTAGTAAGCTTTGAAAGCTTGACTTGTCATTTGTGGCATGAGGGGTTCATGACATAAAATGGGCTATGCACAACATTTTTTAGCTTAAATTATTATCTTCATGAACCTTTGCCTGTTATTTGTGACTGACAACCATACATGACTTATATGTAACTATTCTATTGATAACATCAAACCTAAGTGTTATTGACAAAATGCACCCAGCCATCCATGACATGACAAAGCTAATTCATCAGGTTTGGCAATCAGACATGTGCATGAATCATAGTCATTAGGATCTCATCTGAAATGAAATTGAAAATAAGTTCTTATGGCTTCATTTTATCAATTGTTGAAAATATTTTTATATCTTTACATAATCTCGTTTCATTGCACAACAAATTTCAGAGAGGGATTTACTATCCAAGTGGATATAATTCCAGGGCATGAAACTTTTGGAGTGAAATAACAGCCATAATTGTTCACATAGGTGGAGAATTGTGACCAGCTGGGGGTACTCGGGCGCAGCAAATCCGCCGCCGCCTAGCGGTGACCTTGACCCGCGCCGCCCGGCCGCGGCTCCAAAGCCAAGCCGGCGTGGAATTGGGAGAGCTCGAGCACCCCCAGTCCAGCACAATTCTCCACCCGTGATTGTTCATAGCAATTATAGCCCCAGATTTCTGGCATTTGTCACATAGCTCGCTCACTTGTCACATTCCCATATATTTCTCCCATTTTCCACTCAATGATTTATCTAATAAATCTTTTGCATTTCTGATTTCAGTTAAATGATCCAGCAGGCGGCGGACGCTGTAGCTGCCGAGTGGTAGAATCACGAAGAAATGGCAGGCTGCCTGCCAATCGGCGACGAATCAGCCGTCACTGCTGCACGGGATGGATGATAACGAGAGGCAACGGTCCTGGTCGTTGAAGGGGAAGCGACTATTGGTGCCAATCGGAATTTCTTTTCTTGGAATTCCAATTTTTGTCCAATTCCAATTTGGAATTTGGACGGAATTCTTAACATTTTTTGGAAATTAATCGGAACACAAGGCCTTTAAAATTTAAAATTTTAAAACGGAGGCCTTTAAAACGCTTTTAAACACTTTAAAAATTTACGCAAAAAATGCAAAAATCGTTAAAAATTGGAATAGCCCCCGCTTTGGACAAAATTGGAAATTTACTTGGCAATTTCTTGGAATTGGATCGGAATTGGAATTGAAATTTCATGAAATTGGCACCACTAGAAGCGACTATCGTTGTTCCACCGGTGACAGATGAACTTTGGGCGACCGAAAGGCGCAGGTAGTAGTCCCGTGTCACGTGGCATATAAGCACAGCTGTATGAGTCATTTAACCTCTTCTTCGGCGTAAGTGCTCGTGCCGAGCTGCTGTATGCAGACGATCATTACGCGTGATCATTACACACACGTGTTACAGCCGTGTGTGACGGTGCACCGCTTAGATGTTTCTGTGGTTTCCTGACTGGTTGAATGCGCGACTTTGAGTGTAGATAACCCACCTGTCGGAATGTCGCGGTACGTCAATGGGCCGTTTGAGTGTCTGCTGTTCGTGCTCTGCGGGTGAGAGGGCCGTTGCGTCGGAGCTGACGGAGTTTTTTTGCGTATTAGTGTACAGTGATATGCGATATTGGTCAAATATAAAGTCAAATCTGATTAGTTTTCACCCAGAAGTTTCGTTCGCACCGATCTGCACACGTTTGTAGCTGCCGATGAATGGGTACCGTGAGTGAGTACTGACTACTGTGATG